TCCCATCCCTGAGTCTCTGCCCATGCTGTCGCTTTGCCAGCCTTCCGGTAAACTCCTATTCAGCCTCCAAAACCCTACTCAGGTGACCCACTCTGGGAAGCCACCGGGGCACAGGAGGCATGGCCGTTTCACATGGGTGTGTTTCTGGGATGGCTAATGTGAAGTAAGAAGGGGCCCTTGGGGAAATACCCAAGTCCCCTAGCTGAGCCTTGCCAGAGGGCTCCAGGCAGGGGCTGGCTCCAGCATCCCAAATTCTTCCCCGGAAACCTGGGGTAATTTCCCTTGCAGCGTGGATGGCAGCTTGGGGTGGGCGGTCACAGGACTGGGACTGGAAGCCAGTTCTCTGCATCCTGTTCTCCCTCAAACTGTTGCAGTGTTCGCACCCGTGTTACAAAGAACGCTTAGAACTTTTATTCACAGAGGCCGCCATGGGCATATGGCACAGAGAGGTCTGGGTGGGGTGGGGTGGGGTGGGGGCAGGGAGCATGGGTCGTGCAGGCCGAGAACTCAGCAGCTGGGGGCCAGCAGTCAAGTTGTCACCCCAGGAGGGCTGGGGTCCCCTTCCAGGCTCAGCCTGAGTGAGGCCACTGGGACGCCCGGTGGCTGGCTTCCTGCAGCCGGAACCTGGCCTGTCCGCCCACTTTGTCTACTCCTCCTCCTTCTCCATGTCCAGGCAGCGAAAGGGAGCGAGAGGGTGGCGGCTCCCTGGGCCATGCCAGCAGGCGGGGTGCTGCTCCCCTTTGCCCTTGCGTGCCCAGCTTGGCTGGCACCGGCTTCTCCTGGGCGCCGGGACTATCTGTGGAGCCTGCAGGGAGAGAGCCGAGAGGAGGGGCCACGGTCAGGTCCTGCTTAGCTTCGTGGGCACCGAAGCCACGGGTCACAGCCTGGCCTTTCTCTTTCCTTAAACCCCCACGTCCTCTTCTGCCACGTCACTCAGCCCTTTGCCCCAGACCCAGCTCTTTCCAAGCTCTGGCCTCCAGGAGGGCAAGTGATGATGACAAGAGCCGTGATGATAACCCAGAAAGACCACATGTTGATCCACTTGTGAGCTGTGTGACCCGGAAGCTCAGAACCTCTCTGAGCCTTAACTCCCTCATCATCTATTCAAGGGAAGGGAGGCCCTGGCCGGTTT